TGATGTGACTTGCCAGTAAATCTCAACCACACAATGTAGCACTCTAGGAAACTTTAGGGAAAAATCACTCTAGAGGATCCTTGCTCGTCATTAATTAGGTTATTTTGAATTTTAAATTTCTAACCATATAGATATGATTACAATCTATGGTAATATTGAATTTTTCATATATGGTATCACCATTAATTAGGTTATTTTGAATTTTAAATTTCTAACCATATAGATATGATTACAATCTATGGTAGTATTAGATTTCCTATATACAGTATTATTATTAATCAGGTTATTAATTAATTAATATTAGGGATAAGTGTGTCCACAAGAAAAACCCCATGACCCATTGAGTTATAATTTTTTTTTAATAAAATTATATCTTATAAGAATTTTTTAAATAGGACTTATGTGCAGCCTGCCGTCGTGGCCCTTCCTTCACAACGGCCCTCTTCGTCTCGTCCTTCAAAACGCGCCCGATCTACGTCAGCCGAATAGCAACTTGTTGATGAAGTCGAATCCGTCCCCCAAAGTCCTCATCCTGCCTCCCAACCAGAACAAACTGCCCGAGCCCGATCTCCGAAGTGGGCTCCGCCTTTGATCTTCAATGACCGAAACATCAAAGTCACTGATTCGGTCGTGGGTGAAAAAGACCACCAACTGGCCTTTAACCTGGCCAAAAGTGTGTGCCTCCCTAAGGACATGGAGCACCACATGAAGCAACTGAATACCGAAGTGAAATCAATTCGGTCTGCTTCAAAATCCATGATCTTGGTAAGTAGCTGCCTGCTTTTTCCTGTCTAAATTTTTCTAACTCTTACTTCGGTTCTAAAGATAGCTTTGCTCTGCCAGGCCTTGCAAAAGAACAATGTCACTTACCGGAAAGTCCAAGAGCTCCGCAAAACCACAAGGTAGGCGATGGCGGAAGCCGAAGCAAAGTCGGCCGAACTACAACAAGCCGAAAAGAGAATGGCCGAGCTGGAAGCGGAGAACGGCCGTCTTGCCGATCTAGTTAATTCGGCCGAAGCGGAGAAGCAGAAAGCTGCCATCGTTATGAAGGACAAGTATTTGCGGGAGTTGTTGAAGCTAGAGAAGAGAAAGGACGCCGAAATAAGCGAACTGAAAAAGAACATGGAGGCGGTCGACAAGGGGGGGTACAGGCGAGGTTTCAAGGAGGCCGAGGAGGCCTACGTCAAGCAATGCGATGCCGCCAAGGAGCTTTTCTTCAAGTGCGGCTGGAGGGCGGCTGTGGAGAAGCTCGGTCATGATCAACAGACCGAGGTCTTCAATCCTCCAGAGTACTTTATACCGAAGTCCCTTGCAGGGTACGCGGATGCCATGCAGCAGCAATTCCTTGAAGGTTCAGATACTGACGAGGATTCTGCTTCTGAGGGTACTCCAGCTGAAAACGTGGATCAGACAGATCGGCCGGAGTCCAGAGTGGAAGATCTGACTATTGAACAGCCAAATGAAACTATGGCTCCGGTCGATGCCGCTGTTGTGACTGAAGGAGTGCTGCTGCCAGAGACCGGTCTTCCAGTTGATGCCGATGCGGTTTTCGACGCTGAAATTGATGAACTTTTCTCTTGATTTTTTACTTTTTCTTCTTTGCCGAACTAAGCAATCTTGTAATGACTTCTTTTTGAATGAAAATTTTACTTCTCTTATTCCGGTTATTGTGTGTATGCTTGCATTTGTAATGTCTTCTATTACTCCAAGTGTTATTTCGGTTTTTGGTTGGTTAAACTATACTTACCAGCCAACCACTCCTTAGCCGATATAATTACTTCGGCTGAGGAGTACAGTGTTGGTTCATTTCAGCCAACCACTCTTCAGCCATACACTTACTTCGGCTGAAGAGTAACAAGAGTTGGTTTATTCCAGCCAACCACTCTTCAGCCATACACTTACTTCGGCTGAAGAGTAACAAGAGTTGGTTTATTCCAGCCAACCACTCTTCAGCCATACACTTACTTCGGCTGAAGAGTAACAAGAGTTGGTTTATTCCAGCCAACCACTCTTCAGCCATACACTTACTTCGGCTGAAGAGTAACAAGAGTTGGTTTATTCCAGCCAACCACTCTTCAGCCATACACTTACTTCGGCTGAAGAGTAACAAGAGTTGGTTTATTCCAGCCAACCACTCTTCAGCCATACACTTACTTCGGCTGAAGAGTAACAAGAGTTGGTTTATTCCAGCCAACCACTCTTCAGCCATACACTTACTTCGGCTGAAGAGTAACAAGAGTTGGTTTATTCCAGCCAACCACTCTTCAGCCATACACTTACTTCGGCTGAAGAGTAACAAGAGTTGGTTTATTCCAGCCAACCACTCTTCAGCCATACACTTACTTCGGCTGAAGAGTAACAAGAGTTGGTTTATTCCAGCCAACCACTCTTCAGCCATACACTTACTTCGGCTGAAGAGTAACAAGAGTTGGTTTATTCCAGCCAACCACTCTTCAGCCATACACTTACTTCGGCTGAAGAGTAACAAGAGTTGGTTTATTCCAGCCAACCACTCTTCAGCCATACACTTACTTCGGCTGAAGAGTAACAAGAGTTGGTTTATTCCAGCCAACCACTCTTCAGCCATACACTTACTTCGGCTGAAGAGTAACAAGAGTTGGTTTATTCCAGCCAACCACTCTTCAGCCATACACTTACTTCGGCTGAAGAGTAACAAGAGTTGGTTTATTCCAGCCAACCACTCTTCAGCCGTACCCTTACTTCGGCTGAAGAGTAACAAGAGTTGGTTTATTCCAGCCAACCACTCTTCAGCCGTACCCTTACTTCGGCTGAAGAGTAACAAGAGTTGGTTTATTCCAGCCAACCACTCTTCAGCCGTACCCTTACTTCGGCTGAAGAGTAACAAGAGTTGGTTTATTCCAGCCAACCACTCTTCAGCCGTACCCTTACTTCGGCTGAAGAGTAACAAGAGTTGGTTTATTCCAGCCAACCACTCTTCAGCCGTACCCTTACTTCGGCTGAAGAGTAACAAGAGTTGGTTTATTCCAGCCAACCACTCTTCAGCCGTACCCTTACTTCGGCTGAAGAGTAACAAGAGTTGGTTTATTCCAGCCAACCACTCTTCAGCCGTACCCTTACTTCGGCTGAAGAGTAACAAGAGTTGGTTTATTCCAGCCAACCACTCTTCAGCCGTACCCTTACTTCGGCTGAAGAGTAACAAGAGTTGGTTTATTCCAGCCAACCACTCTTCAGCCTTACACTTACTTCGGCTGAAGAGTAACAAGAGTTGGTTTATTCCGTATCTGTTCCAGATCTGTGCCTTTGATCTTAATCTTTATAGTTCTTTGGCTTGGGAGGTTGTGTGTAGAACCTTCAATTTTTTAGGGAAAACTGAAACAAGCCTTGTCAATCCCTTCCTAGGTCTTTGCCTAGGTTCTTGCATCCCTTCTTTGAACGCCCATTTTCTGAAATACATTCTTCTTTTGTTTAAGTCGACGTAATGGGTATGTGGAGGCATAGGGTAAATACCCCAACAAAACTCGAATACTTCAGGCAGGAATTCTCTATCCCAGCCGATGTTCACCTTAAGCTAGCTGAGGATAATGATACCATTATGCCCACAGACCATACGATGCCCTTTCCTATAGTAGCCTTCACTGAATGTGGACTTCGGCTTCCACTGAATCCCCTGTTTCGTGAAGTTCTTTATTTCTACAAGCTGAACCCCATGCAACTTACTTTCAACTCCTATAGGGTGATTAACGGTATTATAGCTTTAGCTAGGCAAGAGAATCTTAGGATCACCCTGGCCGACCTTCAGTACTATTATACAATGTGCCCCCTCAACCTGAAGGAAAGGGACTTTGTTTATTACCTTAAGCCGAGATCTACCAAGTACAAAATTGTAGCCGACCTCCCAGACTCCAACAAGGGGGCTGGGGATGACTTTGTTATTGCTTCGGGAAATTGGGAATTTGGCCCAGATGAAGATGTCCACCTCTACCCTCTTCCTCGAACAGTAAAAGAGGGCAAGGGTAAGAGCCCTGAGCCAACACCTAGTTGTTTTTATTTAAGTCTTTAATACTTTCTGTTTCTGACGTCTGTTTCTTTGTCCTGCAGATCTTCATCAGCCACCGAAAAATTTCCGTCAATCCTTCTTCCCAGGAACAGATCTAAAAAAACTCCTTAACCTTCCAATCCATAAACGAAAAGCCCCACTGTTACTAAACTTCATCCCTACATATAAATCCACTTTACTCGACATCCCAAAAAGGAAGAAAAAGAGTCTTTCTCCACCTTCTGCCACAACTCCTTCCATTGCTTCCATATCACGGGCAGACGAAGGATCTACTTCTGATCCAGCCGATCTGCCATCTACTTCGGCCCCCTACTTAATACCAATTCCAGAACGTAAACGTCGACGAAGACTTGTGAAGACTGCCGAGATGGTTCGTCCAAGGCCTGTCGCTCAAGATCTTTTTGCCGACCTTCCAACCGACGCCGATGCTGTACCAACGCATGCGATGCTCCCACCAAAGCCGAAGAGAGTAAAAAAGGCTCAGCCCAAGGCCAAGGCTACTGACGCCGAAGCTAAGGATGCTTTGCCTATTTCTCAGCTGGCAGAAAGCAAAAAATCAACCTCTGCTTCCACCAAGAGGTCTGCTGAGGCCCAACCCTCAGGGTCTACACAATCAAAAAAGCCGAGGTCATCGTCTGCGACGACCTCGGCGTCCAAGAAGCCCGACGTTCCATGGGCCCCTCAACTAACTCTGGAGGATAGGCCTATTATGGCCAGCGAAAGTGCCGACGATATCAACGTTGGTGTCGCCGTCAGCACTGCTCTTCTCCTTCCGAAGGATTTGGTGCGAAATGCTAAGCTCAGTGAGTATGAGAATTACGCTCTCATGCTCCAACACTCCGTTCAAGTAAGTGTTCCTGTTTGCACTTGTGATTTTTTCTTTTGTTTCTCACTGTGAATATTTTCTAATACTTCTGTTTTTTCTTCAGGCTATCCAACACGCCCATTCATTTTCAATGCAATCTTTTGAAAATCGTCAAAGATTGGTTGATATGAAGAGGGAGGCGTCCTCTCTGAAGAAGGAGATAAAGTCTCTTGAATCAAGAATGAAAAAACTGGAGGATCAGGCCGAGGCTGCAACTAAAGCCCAAACTTTAGCCGAAGAGAAGGCCGAATCCGCTGAGGCCGTCAAAAAAGTTGCTGAGGCCGAGAAAAGGGAGGCCGAGGCTAAGAAGGCTCAAGCGGAGAAAGAGCTCCAGCAAGCTCTGGCCACCAAAGAGGCCGAAGTCAAAGAGGCCGACGAAAAGGCCTATACCCAGGGTATGGTCGACGTCGCAGAGGATTATAAACTTCAAGTCAGGCAGGCATGCAACAGGGGATTTTTCCTTGGTTGGATGTCCTTGATAAAAAAACTTGATCTCCCTATTGACTCGCCCTTTCGTAATGCCGATGCCATTCCTTTACCATTTCCTCCTCCGAGTCAGGTTGAAGACGAGTCAGAGCTTGAGGTTGATGCCAAGGATGAGGATGAAGAAAACAATGATGATGAGGCCTTGGTGAGAAAACCCAAGGATGCTGCTGAAGCTAAGTCCCCTCCTCCTGCTGAGCAAGTGATGGATTTAACCTTGGATGAGGAGGGTGATGAGGTTGGGGAGGTACCTAAGGAAATTGCCATCGGGCTACTATCATCCGACCTTCTTTTGGCTGAAAGAAATCTGGACAATACGCTGGCTGAGATTGATGCTGAGATTGAGGCAGAAAAAGTTGCCGACGAGGTTCCACCTGAATCGTCCGAGGTCCCAGTCCCTGCAGTTGCTAATACTGAAGAGTCTTGATTTAAAATACCTTTTGTACTTTTTTCCTTCTTTTTCTGCACTTTGCACTCTGTACTCTCTTTTAATTTCTGGACAATGTAAAACTCCTTCTTATGGCCGACGTAACTTTTTCAATATGTAACTGCAACTGTTCTTTTTATAGATGTTTTTTAATCTTGTGATGTTCTTGATTGCTTCTGCATATTTCTATACTTAGAAATTTTTGCATGTTTTTTCATTTTGCTTCCGTTGTGCAATCTTCTTGGGGTTACATACCTTGGGTATAACTACAAAACTTTTACTTCGGCAAGATACTGACCTGCAAACCTTGCACAAATTTTAACAGGTATAAAACATATACTACTCAATGTAAACTTTGCAAGCTTCTTCTCAAGTTTCAACAAGTATTAAACAGTGATCTCGGTCTAACCTACTTGTAAATTGCTATAAATTTCAACAAGTGTTTAAACAATATACTTAGCCTTGACTTCAACCTGTAAATTTCTGTATACCTCTGCGGGTGATCATATGTCGGCTTAACATAAACTTGTAAATTGCTACAAATTTCAACAAGTGTTAAGCATCTTCCTTAGGATGAAGCAACCCACATATTGCTTGTGAGTCTTAAGCAATAACATCGGCTTAACTTCAACTTATAAATTGCTACAAATTTCAACAAGTGAAATAAGGAATCAGCTTAATTCCAACTTGTAAATTGCTACAAATTTCAACAAGTGAATTAAGGAATAATCTCGGCTTAACTTCAACTTGTAAATTGCTACAAATTTCAACAAGTGAAGATAAGGAATCAACTTAATTCCAACTTGTAAATTGCTACAAATTTCAACAAGTGAATTAAGGAACAATCTCGGCTTTTTCTTTGCCCCCAATGTGAACTTGAGTTTGACTTGGGTTCATATTTATGTCTTCAGTAAAAATCAATGCATGACTTTATCAATCATATGTGTTGAAAGAATTCTGAAAAGACTTTATTGATGATATCGGCCAAAAAATGATGCACATCTAATGATAGAAAAATTTCAAATTACAAGTATTCCAAGGTCTGGGTAATGCTTTGCCCTCATTGTCCTCGAGCCGATAAGCTCCATTGCCTAATACTGAAGTAATTCTGTAGGGTCCTTCCCAGTTTGGGCCAAGCTTGCCTTCCCTGGGATCCTTCTTGTTCCCGACGACTTTTCTCAGGACTAGGTCGCCGACTTGAAAATCTCTTGGATTGACCTTCTTGTTGTAAGCTCTGGCAAGCTGTTGCTGGTATACTGCAAGCTGAATTGCAGCTTTCTCTCTTCGTTCTTCCAACAAATCCAGATTTCGGGCTAAGAGTATGATATTGGTGCCATTCTTTACTCCCTGGGTTCTGATTCCTGGGATGCCGATCTCCAATGGGATGACCGCTTCTGTGCCATAAGCCATGGCAAAGGGGGATTCTCCTGTTGATCTTCTCAGCATAGTCCGATATGCCCAAAGTACGTTGGGCAACTCGTCTACCCACTTTCCTTTTGCTGCCTGCAGTCTCTTATTTATTCCATCCAGAATTACTTTGTTGGATGCCTCTGCTTGCCCATTGCTTTGAGGAAAACTTGGTGTTGAGAAATAATTCTTGATTTTGAATTTTGCACAAAAGTTCTTGATGAGTTTGCTGTCAAACTGTGTTCCGTTGTCGGCAACTATTGCTCTTGGAATCCCAAATCTGGTGATAATGTTTCTCCATATAAAATTCTTGACGTCCACATCTCGGATTTTGGCAAGAGGTTCTGCCTCTATCCATTTTGTAAAGTAGTTTGTTGCTACCAGCAAGTATTTCCTCTGCCCAGTTGCCTGGGGAAGTTGTCCAACCAGATCCATGCCCCATTGGGCAAACGGCCAAGGGCTAGATACTGGGTTCAGGTCAGCAGCTGGCTCATGATTTCACTCATGTCTTGAACACTTGTATTGTTTCAATACTTTTTTGCCTTTGTTCTTGAGCCTGTATTTCTTTCGCTTTTGAGAACCATACCTCTATTCTTGATTCTGAAACGTCATTCTTTGTTTCTTGTTTCCTGTGTTGTTTTCCAGATCTCTGCCTTTAATTCTTGCCTTCATAGATTTAGGTCTGGGTTTTGTCTATAGAACCTTCAATCTTTAGGAAAAACTGAAACAATCCTTACCAGCATATACCTAGGGTTTCGCCGAGATCCCGTTAAAGTTACATATTGGTGTTTTTTGAGACCTTCTTTCTGATAAGGTGTCCAGGCGAACACCTCTATGTTTGCCCTTAAGAAATCTTCCAGTTCTTTCTCTTCTTCTCTAGCTAAGCCTGAGCCGAGAAGAAAGAAACGCTCTTCGTCGTCCTCCTGTATGTGCTTCATTGTGGTCTTTTGGCAGCTTCCCCTCTTTTAGGAATGCAATGATTGCATCCATCCAGCTTGGTCCTAAGTCTACGCACATTGCTTCTTGTTCGGTGCTCTGTTTATCTATGCTCGGGGCCGACATGTAGTCGATCATAATTGTCCTTGTTTTTCCAGTTTGAATTGAACTGGCCAGGTTAGCCAACGCGTCGGCGTGGGTGTTGTCATCTCGGCTAACTTGGAGTAATCTGCAGTTCTGAAACAGGGCTGCCAATCGGATGACTTTCTTTGCATATGCCGACATTCTTTCGTCCCTGGCTGCAAATTCTCCTGTTGACTGGTTAACAATGAGTTGTGAATCACAAAAAACAATTACCTCGTCTGCCTCTGCTGCTGCTGCCAGTTTTAGCCCTGCAATTAATGCTTCATATTCTGCTTCATTGTTGGATGCTTTGAACCCTAAACGGATGGACTGTTCTACTATTTCTCCATCTGGAGATATCAGCAGTACTCCTGCCCCTGCTCCCTGGCGGTTTGAACTTCCATCGACGAATAGTCTGAATGAGTCGCCGATGTAGATGCTGCAGGGTCTGAGCATCTCATTCTCTTGCTTTTTTGTCTTTCGTTGGGATTTTTTTTGCTTGTTGGGACAATGTTCATCTTGGCTCGACGGAGCCCGATGTGCAATGGCTTCAGGTGTGAGTTCTGCAACGAAGTCGGCCAAAACTTGGCCCTTTATTGCTGTTCTCGGCCTGAACTCCAGGTCAAACTGGCCCAGGGTTACTGCCCATCTTGCAATCCTTCCTGTTAAGTCTCCTTGTTGCAATAAGGACTTTAGTGGGTGCTCTGTTAGGACCACAATCTTGTGTGCCTGAAAGTAATGGTTCAACTTTTTTGAAGCCATTACTAAGGCCAGCATTAATTTTTCCAGTGGTAGGTATCTTGTTTCTGTGTCGGCCAAAGTTTTCCTTACATAATAAACAGCCTTTTGCTCCCCTTTTTCTTCTCGAATTAGCACGGCACTGACTGCGTGTTCTGAGACTGCTAAGTACAAAAACAGTTCCTCCCCTGGTACTGGGTTGGAAAGAACCGGAGTTGTGGTCAAGTACTTTTTTAGGTCGGTTAAGGCGGCTTCACATTCTTCTGTCCATAGGAAGTCTGTGGCTTTTTTCACCAGGTTGAAGAAGGGTCTGCACTTATCTGAGCTTCTACTGATGAATCTGTTTAGGGCTGCGGCCCTTCCAGTAAGCATTTGAACTTGCTTTGCCAATGTCGGGCTCTGTAGTTCCAGGATGGCTTTGATTTGGTCTAGGCTGGCCTCAATGCCCTTTCTTATTACCAGATACCCTAAAAATTTACCTGATCCAACTCCAAAGGCGCACTTCGAGGCGTTGAGTCGGAGCCGATAGCTTTTGAGTATGTCAAAGACCTCTTTTAGGTCGGCAAGATGACCCTTTGATTCCTTGGTCTTCACGACCATGTCGTCGATGTAGACTTCTACTGTTTTGCCAATCAGGTGTTTAAACATCTTTGTCACTAACCTCTGATAGGTTGCTCCTGCGTTTTTCAACCCAAAAGGCATTACCTTGTAACAGTACAGGCCTTTAGGGGTGATAAACGCGGTCTTCTCCTCGTCTGGAGGGTACATGGCAATCTGGTGGTACCCTCTGTATGCATCTAAAAAACTCATCTTTTCATGTCCTGAAGTGGCATCTACCAGTTGGTCGATCTTGGGCAGAGGAAAGCTGTCTTTGGGGTAGGCTTTGTTGAGGCTGGTAAAATCTACACAAACCCTCCATTTGCCATTCTTCTTTTTTACTACTACTGTGTTGGACAGCCATGTTGGGTAATGAACTTCTCGGATGGCCTTGGCCTCTAGGAGTCTGTCTACCTCTTCTTCTACTGCTTCGACGTGCATCAACGTCGGTCTTCTGGCTCGTTGAATCACAGGTTTTGCCGACCTGTCGACATTCAGTCTGTGGCAAGTGACCTCGGGGTCAATGCCAGGCATTTCGTAAGGTGTCCAGGCGAACACCTCTATGTTTGTCCTCAAAAAATCTTCCAGTTCTTTCTCTTCTTCTCTAGCTAAGCCTGAGCCGAGAAGAAAGAAACGCTCTTCGTTGCCCTCCTGGACGAAAACTTTTTTTAGCGCCTCTTCGCTCTTTTCGGCCGGTTCTTTCCCGACGTCTTCTAGGACCTCCATGTCCTCATCTTCAACTTCTTCTTTCCTTGGTTCTCGTATACTACAGGTGGACTTCATTGCTGCCATGGAGCAATTTTTTGCTTGCAGTTGATCTCCTCTGACTTCTTCAATCCCATGCTCTGTTGGGAACTGCAGTAGTTGATGCAATGTTGAGGGAACTGCCCCCATTGCATGCAACCACGACCTTCCCAGGATGATGTTGTATGGTGAGGGCGTGTCAATTACCAGAAATTCCGTCTGGATCTTCTTAGTGCCGGCTTGTACTTCCAAGTTTGTTGCGCCCAGTGGCCATGTCGGCGTTCCATTAAAGCCGACCATCGGGCCGCTGGATTGTACAAATGAAATACCCTTTCGCACTTTCGTCAAGGCATCATTATGCGGATGTTGGACCAGTTCTAGGTCGGCTTCAGTAAAGGCTATCATCGGCCCTTGGCATTCTTCTGGCCGATGTCTCTTCTCCCCGACTTGGTAGA